TCGAATGCAAATGTTTTGAGAATGATGATGGCAACAAATGTACAAATGTGCTTGACACAATGGATGGATGGATGGATTGTGATAAGAGTTGTATGAACCCCCAATAAAGTGATTAAAAAAAAAAAGTGAAATTCAAATCCAGGCTGTTTAACTCCAAAGTTCATACTCTTAGAGACCACTACACTGCACTCTTTCGTTTTCACTAAACAAGATCATTTGCCCTGTTTTTTGCTATCTCAGAGGCAGCCTGAATCGCCCTTACAAACCCACACCTGCTAAGTAGAAAAAGAACGCAATTACCTATGCTACAAGGAGTAGGTAGCTCTGTAGTAATCGAAACATCTGTCACAGAAACCAGACTGTTTTAAGGAGCAGGAAATGAAACAGCAGTGCGTAATGCTCATACAAATCGTGTGTACTAGCCCATAATCGAGGATAAAGTGTAGGTGTCTGCTTTTGCAGCCCCCTGGAAGCTTCTAGCACCCTACCCCACCCCAGCCCCACCACGGAGGGGCAGTTTAGAAGGTGAAATCGCTTGTGCTCCAGCTATGCTCATTTTCGGAGTTTTAAGTTCATCCTGTGGCAAAAATTCAGGATACCACCTTATTTTATAATGCCAAAGTAGTTCCCACCAGATGTCTTATTCCCCATTAAGCAATACAATTCATTAATTTTCCCCTAAATGCCAAGGAATTAAGAAAAAATATCTTTCTAAATCTTTACTAGCAAAGACAGGAAACTCAAGAAAACTAACTTTACATTGAAAAACCATCAGATAAAAAAATACTTAATAAATCAGAATATATAATAAAACAAGATAAGAGGGAACAGAAGAGGGAATGCTGATTTATAAAGTTGTGTTAGTTAAAATTTTTACAATTTCATAAGACATTTTATAAATTTATAGCTTTATCATAGATTTTTAAAACCTTTCCATTTACTCAGAAAAAAAACTATTTAAAATTTTAAAGCAATATAATAAATAGTACGTAGTATAGAGTCCCAATAGTATTTAATACAAACACCTACAATATGCACATAGGTACACACCTATGTGTGTTTACACACCATTAACACAAACATAGAGAAAGTAGGGAAATACACACCATTAGGGTTAATACTAAAGAGTCTTGGGAGCCCAATGGTTAAGTGCTTGGCTGCTAACCAAGCAGCAGTTCAAACCCTCCTGGGAGAAAAAGAATTCGCAATCTGCTCCCCCAAATTCTGGGGTAGTCCTCGTGGCAGGGGCAGTATTTTCCATAAGCGCGCTGCACGCCACGAAGGGTGCTCGTTAACTCGGGTGGGCAAGCCCACGGGGTGTGGGGGCTTCTTTCTCATCTCCTTGCTTCCTTACAGGCCTATATTTTCTACGATGAAGACAGGACTATTTTGTAAGTTAACTTCTATTTAAAACGTTTTAAAAACTCCGTACACGTGCACTAAAGCACGATGTATAGGGGTTTCGAGTTCCTGGGAAAAAGGAATGAAGAGACAAAGGAAGTTTCCCTGAACTTTCGGAAGTGCCCTCCTATCTACTAGGAAAACAACGTCACCCACTTGCTGTTGCAAAGGGCGTGTCTCCGGGAGAGCCCGTGAGGAGAGGCACCCCTAGCATTTGCCGGGCTGCAGCCTGGAAAGGAGCAGATTTCGAGGTCTTTCTCCTGAAGAGCTGCTGGGGGATCCCAACTGTCAACCTTCACACTGGTCAGCGAGCACTTCACTCACGGACCACCAGGGCTCCTCCTTGTAAACGTTCACTGTGAATTGGGTGGAAGTTTACAGAGCAACTCATCAGTCTCACAGTCAACAATTGCTGTCGGTTGTGTTTTGTGTCATGCACGCACTCCCTACAACGTACCATCACTCGTCTCACTTCCCGTTTCCGGTTCCCAGTGCTCCTTTCCTAAGGAACTTCTGAACTTTCTCCTTGATCTCAAATGGTTGATGATTCTAAGGTGTGTGTTCGTCACTACTGTTATTGTTTCCCTTGCGGACCTGTCTACTCTGGCTGAAAACTGAGCCACTGAAATGAGTCCCATTCCAGATCTCAAGGGCGGCCAAGACCCACAGGCTCAGGGGTACCACCAATCTCTCACTAGCCAGTAAGCCTGGCCTCTCACGATTCTGAGTTTTGTTCCACATATTTCTCCCACTCTATCCAGGAACATCAAGGCTTTAGCAGGAGCATGAATGACCGTCGTCTAAAGATGAACAGTCTATAACAGTTGAAATTAACACACTTGATCAATACATAGCAATAAAACTAAAGCTAAAATCATTGTGTTGAAAAAGCAAGCTGCAGGCCATACCATTCACATGAAAGTCAGGTTAATGCTTTAAAACACGGTATGTAATCTCGAAAGGTAATATAGTTCAGTGATGTAAAGGGGATGTCAAAAAGTTTATGGAAAATTGGGGTAAAAAGATAAACTTTATTTCTCAATATATAGTCCATCAAGTTCAAGGCACTTTTGTAAGGAATGATACCAGTCATTCAGACTGTCCCTAAAGAACTGAGAGCCCTGGGGAGTGTACGTGAAGTCATTTTGGACACTATTAACTGATAGAGTAGGTGGCCCCTACAATTTTTTTCAAGATTAAGAAATAAAAAGAAATGCAAAGGAGCCATATCAGACCTGTGAAGTGGATGCTTAATGATTTCCTACCGAAACGCTCACGAATTTGACCATGTTTGGTGAGATGAAGGAGCATGAGCACTCTGGTAGAGGACTCTAGTGAAGCTCTCCTGGGTGTTTTTCTGCTAAAGATTAGGCTAACGTTCTCAAAACATCCTCAGAATAAACAGGTGCCATCGTTCACTGGCCCTGCAGGAAGTCAACACGCACACTGACTCCAAAACCAAGCTCACTGTCATTGAGTCCATGGTGGAATCACAGTCACCCTCTCGGTCGGCGTACAGCTGCCTCTGTGGGTCTGAGACTGTAACTCTTTACAGGAGTAGAAAGCTTTATTGGTCTCCTGTGGCGTGGTAGGTAGATTTGAACTGGTGATCCTGCAGTTAGCTGCCCTGCATGTAATCCACTATGTCATCAGAGCTCCTGCCAAAATGCCTTGAACACCCCAAAAAGCTGTTGCCATGACCACTGCTCTTGAGCAGCCCACCTTGGCTTGGACAGGCCCATGTCCCCTCTTCGTGGCCACTGCTTTGATTATCGTCTTCAGGGTTTGGCAGGTAAGGTTTTGTTTCACCTCTTGTGAAAATTCTTGGCAGAAATGTTCCAGGATCTCGATCCCACTTGTTTCAAGTTCCCACTGAAAGCTTTGCTCTTGTTTTGGCACGCGCTGAGCGGAGACTTTGCTCAACTGTAATTTTTCAGTAAGAAGCGTGTAAGCAGAAACCATTGAGATGCCTATGGCGCTAATGAGAGTTGCTGTTATTAACCAGTGATCCTCTGTAATTAAACCACGAACAAGATTGTTTCCTTTGCAAACTGACCTGGATCGTCCGTCTGTTGCCGTTCACCTTCAAGATCACCATGTCCCTTCCCAGCACATGTGAAAGCTGCTGATCTTGGGGGCACCGTCCTCAGAAACTTTTCATAAAGCAATAATGATTTCACCATTCTTCCTGTGAGCTTCACAATGAATGTAATCGTTCTTGCTTCAATTCATGTTGCTCTGACAGGGACTCTTCAAACTGATTTCTTATCCTCCTCAGTGCCTCAGATTAGATCCTGGTCAGGCATGTTTTAACTATATATTTTGGTGCAAATTTTTTTTAAATTCACGCATAGTTTTTTCATAATACACATTTCCCATGAACTTTTGGAAGATGCTCATTATTTGTTAAAAACATATTTCAGAGCAAATGTTTTGAGAATGATGAGGGCAATGAATGTACTAATGTGCTCTACGCAATTGATGTATGTATGGATTGTGATAAGTTGTATGAGCCCCTAATAAAACGCTTAAAAAAAAACATGCTTCATAGATGCATATTTTAAGATAAATATGCAAACACTAACCCAGTCTTTAAAATAGCAGATACGTACAAGGAGTTATGACACTGCACATTTCAACAGTACAGGCGACATGGGCAGCTTGCTTCCCGTCTGGCTTCACGGTCACCCGCTCTTCACCTGTCACCAAGTCGCAGGGCACACCCTGAAACGACAAAAAGAAACTCTGACTTTTTTAACATGGGGAAAATGGCAAAAATAAACCTGAATGTTAAAAGAACTCCCTGCATTATCACATTTACTTAACATATTAAAAAGTATTTCCTAGATCTTGCTATTTTTTTAAGTAAAGGAACAAAACAAGGGCAGTCTCTTACAAAATGAAGCAAATTTTGAAAGAAGTCAAGTGAACCAAATCCTCAGAAAACAATTAACCATGAGAAATTTAGCGGTTTCACTTTTTAACTTTGCACACTTCTATAATTTCTAGAGATTAAACCAATTCGTAATTTCTATAACCAAAAGGAACATAAATTAAAAACGTGAACTGGGACACTTGATCACCATAACAGTCTAAATGTAGTTCTGAGAAAACAGCAAACATATCTAAACCAAGGGAAAATTTACAGCACAACTGGACCTACTGTCTCCTAAAAATGTCAAGGTTAGAGAAGACAATGGAGCAACAACTGCCTCCGAATTTTAATAAAAACCAGAGACATAACAACCAAGAGCAAGGTGAGCCCCTCATGGATATCCTGGACCAGGAAGGAAAAAATGAGATATTCTGGAATAATTGGAAAAAATAGAAATAAAGGCTATGAATTAAATAATGGTATTCTTACAGTATTCAAATTTCTATTGTTGAAAAATATCCTGTGATTGTGTAAAGAGTCTTTGTTCTTAAGGAATATATTCTTAAGTATTTATGGAAATGTAGGCATTAAGAATATACTCATGAAAAAAAAAATGTTATTTTTTAAAAAACAGTACCCACCGTAATTCACATTATAATGCTAAAATAGAATAATGATTCAAAATGTGGTCCATTTAGTGAAATGATGCTACAGATAACCATCCCTGTTTTCCTGTTCAGCTGATAGGGTGGCTTTAGCCTTTATCCCAAGTTCAGACTGAATCCTCACGAGAAGTGGTTAACTCTGAGGAGGTAGAGAAAGGGGCTCCAAAGAAAGGAGGTTCACCTCTAGCAGTAGCATTTTCTCTCTTACTAAGGTACACAATGTCAATATGGCAAAATGCTAGGATTGGATGGAGTGGGGTAGTAGAGACAAGGCTACTCGCTACACTTATTTGTGTGTGACATATTCCATAATTTCATATTTCACTTCTACCATGTATATTTTCCCCACATTTTATCATCTCTGAACTCAGAACTCATCTTACAAATGAAGCGTGTCAGAATGCAGTTGGCAGTTTTTTTTCTCACTGCCATCAAGCTGATTTTGACTCACAGTGACCTTTCAGAACAGGATAGAATTGCCCCTGTGGGTTTCTGAGACTGTCAAGTCTTTCTGGGAGTAAAATTGCCTCATCTTTCTCCTGTAAAGTGGCTGGTGGCTTTGAACGGCCAACCTTGCGGTTCACAGCCCAACACATAACCCACTACACCACTGGGGCTCCTTTTCCTTCTGAGCTGCACATGAAATAATGGTGTTTCCTATAATTCTCCAGGAAAAAGATGACGCTACCTGTGCCAGGTAAACGCTTTATAGGGTTTTATATGCAGAGAGTATTGATTTCTTATCATTGATGGCTTGAGTCTGATGATCTGCCCATGGGGTCACTATGACTCAGAACTGACTGGACGGGAGTATTTGATTTCTTGTTCTTGTTAGGTTTGATGAAATACAGCAGTTGTTTGCTTATAGTAAATTACTAAATATGTCTTTCCCCTCACTTCCACCATCATGCCACCCCCATTAAATATTAGAAGAAAAAAGATTGGCTAGTTGGTAATATACTGACAGCAGTATTACTCTTTTCGAAGATTTCATGTGCCAACAATTTTAAAGGACCACAATACGCTCCGGATGCTGCTGACAAGTATTTCTGGATTGCATGATAAGTCTTTCCACTGTTTGTGGGGCCAGAATGGAAGATTATTTTCCGCCGTCTGGCTCTGGCTTCTGGGTACCTACAATCAGAAAAACAGCTCAAGTCCACTAGCCAGAAGGCCACGCTGGCAGAGAAGTCCACTGAAAAAGACAGACCTCACATTCACAAGATTGCTCCTTTGAAAAACTAAATTCAAAGTAACAGGTTTCACATCCATATTAAAATAATAACTGACTTCCCACGGCCCCCACCCCACAAAAAAAGCAGCTAACTGTTCTCTAGACAGAAAACTCAAATGCCTACTAATTTCTTGGATATACATCCCACTTTTAAAAAAAACAACTTGATCTCAGAAGTTCTTTCAATTAAGTTTAAAATATATTCACATATTTCTATAGTTCTAAGCAATCCCCCACCCTCACCCCCAGCTTCTGAATTTCAGAGTAAATGACTAAGGCTTCTGTTTCTGGTGCTGGACAAACGGGAGGAAATGCATAAGGCAGCAATTCAGGGTTGGACAACCAGCAGCACAAGTCGACAATCCCTGTGAAGAGAAGGCTTACGATGAGTTTCCTTCCCCGCAAGAGAGCACAGGAAGGCAGTCTCCCTGAGCTGAGGAAGCAAAGGTCAAGCTCAGCTACAGAACCAGCTAAAATTTGAAGGACAGAGGGCGGGAGAGGCCTACAGTCTGTGTGGGAGGTGTCTGTGCTGCTGGGGCCGGGCTACCGTGTGGGAGGTGAGCCTTGGAGAGGCCTAGCAGAGAGTGCTGGGTAAGGAATTGGGACCGGAAATTCTCAAAGTGCTAAGAGATGTGGGAGTTCCAGCAGCGGAGACAGCAGACAGGCCACACCTCAGAAGTAAGGACAACAGTCTAACTTAAGGGCTACTTTCTGAAGATCTACCCTACTAAGTCCCTCACGCGCCCCGATCTGAAACCAGCAGAGCCAGGCAGAATCAATTGCTTATTTTTTCTAAGAAAAACAACACAATCCATCTAATAAATCTATCATCCAGCATATAGTAAAAAATACAATGATCGCTCAGCTCCCAAGTATCTCCAATCCACAAATAAAAAAACTAACCAGTTTGGTGGTATTCTTAAGTCACTGATTTTCCGTAGATCATCCTTGCAGTCCAACACCGGAAATATCTGTTTTGCATGTCTCATGAAAAACGGAAACAAGTCATCCACATGCGCTGGAAAATAAAATGCCGCATCAGCCTGGGCAGTCTACAAGTCACCCTAAGTGAAGCCAGGGAAGCTGTTTTCTTTGAGAACCAAGTGAAGGGACAGCGTGCAGGGTGGCCCATGCCCCATTAGGCTTTGTATTCGTGTTCTACCTTGGTGTCAGGCACAAGGTCCAAATCTACCATCAAAAATATTTCTAAAATACAGCCAGAGCTAATCTGCTTATGAGGCCAGGATAACAATGTTTTGGGGTTGTTGTTTTTTTCTTGTCATGATATGAGGGAGACCAGATGCAAAAACAGACAACCTGCCACATGCTTGTCCGATCAGTGTGAGAGCTCACTTTAACTTTACTGAGCTCTATACTGACACACGGTGGGGGGCAGACAATCAAGGCCACAAGTCTTTCCCACGTCTGAGGCATGGGGGTGATGTAATAACTAGCTCTGAGAGCCCTGGAAACACACTGGGCTGATCCCACAGGTCAGCAGTTCGAAACCATAGGTTGCTCTGGCGGAAGAAAGACATGACATTCTGTAGTTTAGGAAACCCACCGGGGCAGTTCTACTCTGTCCTATACAATTGCCTTGCGTCAGAATCAACTCCGAGGGCAGTGAGTTTTTTTGAGTTTCAAAGATCCACTACAAAACATGAAAGGGCCCAGAAGTCTATCAAAGCTTTGAATTATTTACAGAGCATGTTACCTGGACTTAATCTAGAACAAGGCCTTTCCAGAGAAGTAAATGGGAAGGAGCCCAGGGGGTGTAGTGGTTAAGCGCTGATCAGGTACTGAACTGAACAGCCCGATGGTTGATCCCACCGCTCTGTGGCGATAAAAGCTTGGGAAACACTATGGGCCAGCTCTCTGTCCTTTGGGTCATTCTGAGTCGGAATCAACTTGATAGCAGCAGGTGCAGTTTACGGTTTGAGAAGTAAACAGGAATCAAAGGATGAAACAGCATGTTCACCAAGATGTAATCCAATCTCTACACACTTACCGGCACTGAAACAAATATCGTTCAAAACAATGTGAACGTCCACATCCAGGGAATGAGACTGCATGATGTAATTTCGAAAGCTGATGAAAGCTTGGTGGAAGAGACGAGCTGGGGAAACACAAAATCAAAACAGGCAGAGCTTAGTTGTCATGACAAGAAGAAACGAGTGTGGATGCACACTAATCCAACCTGCAAGTGGCATTTTAAAATGGTTTTTGAAAGGAACTTGAAAGCATTCCTATTTTTTTTGGTTGACATGTCTTCTGTGCTTAGAAAGAGGAGAGATAACAAGCAGATCTCTTTAAATATCTTTTTAAAGATGTGTTTGGCTTTAAGGGATGGCATTTTATCAGAAATGTACCTTAATGTTATGTCCTCGTAGTTATTTACACTGATCAGAAAATAGTCAAGGGCACTAAAACCCCATTTTCTAACAGAATTTTTACCAGGCAATTGTAGCGTCTCCATGCCTTCAAATTCACTAATACTGGGAGTGGATGGGGCGCTGGAATAGTTCATCATTGTTCATACGGCACAGGATTTTCCCCTCCAACAAAAATCAATGAGGCAGACCGGCAATTTCCACTTCCATTTGCCGCCTCCCCATCTATGCAGATTCTGAAGGTGAGGGAGCACTCTCCCCATCCCGACCTCCACCCACCCCTCACCACGATGGTCCAGCAGGTCAGTCTTGCCGGGCCCTTCCAAGAAGGCAGAAGCCACGGTCAGAGGCGTACGTAGCTCCAGACCACAGCTGTGTAATTCTTTCCAGGTCCCACAGGGTCCCACACAAGAATGACAAAGATGGACTTGAAGAATTAAGCAAAGATTTCTAAAACTTTACCATCAAGCCCATAATCAGCAGCCAGCTTCTGAATTTCTTTCCTCTTGTAAAACTTGTCTAGAATCTTTTTTACTTCATCTGGAAGAAAGATAACAAACTTTAACATCCATTTCTTTTCTCAGATTTCAAAAAAACAGATTTCAGGGGCATCTATAGAACTTCTGACAATTAAAGCAAGGGGAAAGGGTTGCTTCTCATTGTGAGCGCTTGGTCACAGGAAATGGCCCCAAAGCCAAAGAACCCCCCAGCGTTCATGCTTAAGGCAATAATCTACTAAGTGCTGCAAAACCTTGAAGGTTCTGCTTGATCACAGGCTCTTTATGAGATGACAGGAGGAGGACTCCCTGGGTCATCAAATGCAATGTCCCTGTAGTAGAGCTAAGGAATGAGCAAGGTGATACAGGATCAGAGAGTAGCCCCAAACCTCGTCCACTTTTAGAAGTGTTGTGGTTAATTTACTCACGACCATTCTGTATATCAAACAGCAGCTAAAATGCATCCAGAAAGGCTACCGATACAGCAAGGACCAGAGCATCGTATTTCCCACACACAATTAAAGGGCTGGTGATGGTGATGTTCAGCGCAGACGGTAGGGAAAACGGTCTGCCCTCATTCTGTTCTAGAGGACACACTGACGTCAGTGGGAAGTGTGGACCGCAGACTGGAGTGGCATCTACAGAACTTCCCAAACAATTAGGACAGTGAAAACCTGCTGCCGGAGTGTAAGTTCCTGACTCACAGGAGCATTCAAAGGGCCAGATGACTAGTGCCAGGGAGCTGTCAGAGAAACAGCTGTGCTGTAGGGGAGTCTGACTAAGAAGCCTACTGAGGTAGCATGCCACTATGAATCAATAATTCTACAGTGAAAGTAGTCTACACGAACTGATCTGAAATCTAATTAATGCTGCACATGTCAAAATCATCCTCTGTAGTAGTGGACATGTGACTAACCCATTCCACTTGCATTTCTGAGGAAGTAGGGCAAAATTGAGGGCATAGTCTTTGTCCATAAACTACAGAAAGCCCAGTGGCCTGTATTCTCAGCTCCCACAAAAACAATGAGCATACTTTCCGTTTCAGACAGCGCCATGCAAAAAGCTCATTGAAGACAAGAAGCCTGAACAAAAGCCTCCCACTAACAAAACTTTGTTTCGTACAGTGAAGTAATTTCAAAATCATTGATTTCACTACTAACCATTGCCACGACCAAGTGTGATACCCACCACTTGTCTGCTGTGGTACTGTGACGGCTCACAAGTGGCTGTGATGCTGGAAGCCATGTCGCCAGCAGGGTCACCCAGAGTGGACAGGTTTCAGCAGAGCTTCTAAGAAGAGACTACAAAGAAGGAATGGGCTGTCCACTTCCGAAGTAGCAGCTACTGAAAACCTTATGAACAGCATCAAAACAGTATCTGATACTGAAGGTTTAATAACCAGAAGCGGAACACGGTCTGAGATCATGCCAGAAAGTGAACCCCTGAGATCAGAAGGCACTCAAAATAGGACTCAAAGTACAGATCAATACGACTTGAGTGGATTAGAGCCCGTGGGAGTAAAGCCTTCAGGACCTTCATTTGCTGATGGGGCACAGCTCAAAAGGAGAAGAAACAGCTGCAAAACCAACTGGAACTTGGAATGTACAAAGTGTGAATCTAGGAAAATGGAGCGTGGACAATGAGATGGAAACATAAAGTGAGCTGAAACAGACTGATATTGGCCCTTTTGCATCAGAAAATCATATGGTTTACTATGCTGGGAATGAAATAATCAAGAGGCAAGGCATTGCATTCCTTGTCGAAAACAGTATTTGAAGATCTTGAAGCACATCCAGTCAATATAGCTATTGTTCAAATGTATGCACCAACCACAAACTGGTGATGAAGATATTGAATTCTACCAACTTATTCAGTCAAATTGATCAAACATGCATTGATAGTCATTGGTATTGGAATGCAAAACTTAGAAACAAAGAGGAAAGAACAGTATTTGAAAATATGATGGGAATGATGAAGAGCATGATACAATTTGCAAAACCAACTACTTCATAGCAAATCACTTTTTTGTTTCTTAAGATCATTTTATTGGGGACTCTTAGAATAATCCATACAGCAATTGTATCAAGCCTATCTGTACATATGCTGCTATCATTATTTTCTTAAAATTTGCTTTCTATTTGAGCCCTTGGTATTAGCTCCTCTTTTTCCCTCCCACTTCCCTCCCCCCCTCATGACCCCTTGATAAATTATAAAGTATTATTATTTTCTATCTTACACCAACCACTGTCTCCCTTCCCCCATGGTTTCTTTCTACCTTCCTCCTACCCTCCTGGTATCACTACTCCCATTTCGGTACCTAAGGGGTTTACCTGACCTGGATTCGTTGTGTTGTGGTTCTTATCTGTCCCTGTGTACATGCTCCAGCCTAGCCCGCAGGGAAGGCAGGATTGGGGTTGCGATTGTGGGGGGTGAGGAAGCCTCAAGAACCAGAGTATTGTTTCATCGGAGCCATAATGTGCCCTGGTTGATTCATCCCTTCCATGAGGGGATGTCCTATTTTCTACAGATAGATTTTGGGTCTCTGCTCAGACACCCACCCCCACCCCCACCTTGTTCTCAATAATATGTTTGTTTGTTTGTTTGCTTGCTTGCTTGTTTGTTTTGGGTCTGCCGATGCCTGTTACCTGATCCCGTCGACACCTCAAGATCACACAAGCTGGTGTGCTTCTACCATGTTGTTGCTTCTATGCTAGATGGCTACTTGCTTAATTTTAAGCCTTCAAGACCCCCAAATGCTATCTTTGGATAGCTGAACATCATCATCTTTCTTCACCACATTTGCTTGTGCACCCATTTTGTCTTCAGTGATTGTGCTGGGAGGGTGTGCATCACAGAATGCCCAGTTGTTAGAACAAAGTGTTCTTGTATCGCGGGAGGGGTAAATAGCTTTTTCCAACAACACAGAAGGCAACGGTATACATGAACATCCCCAAATAGAATACACAGAAATCAAATTGACTACATGTGTGGGAAGAAATGATGGAGAAGCTCAATATCAGCTGCTAAAATGAAGCCAGGGGCTGACTGTGGAACAGACCATCAACTACTCATACCTAAGTTGAAGAAAATTAAGTCAAATTCATGAGAGCCAATTTACAACCTTGAGTCTACCCCACCTGAATTTCGAGAACATCTCAGAAACAGATTTGCTGCATTCAACACGACTGGCAGAAGACCTGACGAGCTGTGGAATAACAGCAAGAGCACCCTTCATGAAGAATGCAAAGATAAGAAGGAGAGAAAAGACCAAAGTGGATGTCAGAAGAGACTCTGAAACTGGCTCTCAAGTCGTAGAGTAGCTGAGGCAAATGGAAGAAAATGAAATCAAAGAAAATTTCAAAGGGCAGCTTGAGAAGACAAAGTAGAGTTTTATGATAAAATGCGCAAAGGCCTAAGAGTCAGAAAACCAAAAAGAACGAACACACTCAGCATAGCTTAAACTGAGAGAACTCAAGAAAAGATTCAAGCCTCAGGTTACAATATTGAGTGAGTCTATGAGAAAGCTGTTGAATGATGCAGGCAGCATGGAAAGAAGAGGGAAAGAACACAGTCACTGTACCAAAAAGACCTAGCTGACATTCCACTCTTGCAGGAGGTAGCATAAAAGCAACAGCCGACGGTGCTGAGCGAAGAAGTCCAAGGTGCACTGGAAGCATTAGCCAAAACAAGGATCTAGAAATTGATGGAATACTCATTGACATAGTTAACAAGCTGATGAAGCACTGGATGCACTCACTCTTCTAAGCCAAGAAATCTGGAAGACAGCTACTTGGCCAACAGATTGGAAGAGACCCATATTAGTGCCCTTTCCTAAGAAAGGTGGCCCAATAGAATGTTCAAATTGTAGAACGCTGTCATTAATATACATGCGAGTAAAATTTTGGTGAAGATCATCCAACAATGGTTGCAGCAGTACACTGATAGAGGCTGCCAGAGGTTCAGGGCAGATTCAGAAGAGGACGTGGAACAAGGGCTATCATTGCTAATGTCGGATGGATCTCGGTTGAAGGCAGAGAGTACCACGAAAGTGTTTACTTGTGTTTGATTGACCGTGCCAAGGCTCTCTTCAGTCGTGTGGATAATAACAAAGTACGGACAGCCTAGAGAAGAATGAGACTTACAGAACGATTCATTATGCTCACCCAAACTTGCACAGGAGTCAAGAGGTAGTTGTGTTAACACAAGGGAACACTGCATTAGGATTGAAGAAAGGCTCATTAACAATCTGTAATACACAGATGACACACACTTGCTTGCTGAAAATGAGAACCCGAAGCACTTGCTGATAAAGATCATGGACTGCAGCTTTCTATATGGGGTACAACTCAACACAAAGAGCAAAACCTTCACAACCAGACCAGGAGGTAACATTATGATAAATGGGGGCAAGACAGAGGTTGTCAAGTATCTCTTGCTTGGATCCACAATCAGTGCTCATGGAGGCCGTAGTCAAGAAACAGAAGGGCGCATTGCATTGGGTAAATGTGCAAGACAGCTTTAAAGTGTTGAAAACTAAGGGGTGCTTGACCAAGTCAGGGTATTTTCAAGAGCACATATGCACGTGAAAGTTAGATACTGAATAAGGAAGACCAAAGAAGTATGATGATGGCTAGAATACCGTTAAGTACATGGACTGCCAAAAGAACAAACACATCTGTCTTGGGAGAACAGCCGAGTGCTCCTTAAAGGCAAAGACAGCGAGACTTTATCTCACGCACTTTGGCCATGTTGTCAGGAGAGACCGGTCTCTGGAGGAGGACATCATGCTGGGGAAGTGGAGGGCAGCAGAAAGGAAGGCCCTCAAGAGAGAAGGCAGGACAGAGACTGACAGTGGCTGCAACAACGGGCTCGAGGACGGTGCAGGGCGGCACGGCTCGTGGTCTCCTGTGGCACAGAGGGCCACTCAAGAGCACCTAACAACATGGATAGGATTTGCAGCTGCCACCGCTGTGAAAGGGTGCGCGATCCTTCAAGTCAGAAGGAGAGCACACGGTGGAAGTGCCTCCGTCACCTGGGGACTTA